GGCTCCGCCAACCCCGCTTCCGAGACCGCATCGGAGGCAGCTTCCGCGTCGGCCTCGCCCTCTTCCGCCGCCGCCAGTGCATCGGCATCTTCGGCTTCCGCGTCATCGGCCAGCCCATCGTCGGCAGCCACGCCCAGCAAGACGGCGTCGCCGTCCTCGTCGGCCCCGTCGAGCAGCCGCCCGACGCCCAGCGCGACCGACACGCCCAAGGACAAGCAGCAGGCGGACCCGGCCGACGACGAAGAGCAGCCGGGCCTGCTCTCGCCCAAGAACAAGCTCTTCCCGCTCGTCGTGGTCGGCATCTCGGCCGCCGTGATCCTGGCGCTGCTCCTCTTTATCGCCATCGCGCGCGCCGTCGCGCACGACAAGATGCGCCGCGACGCCATCGTCGCGTCCAAGCGCGGGCCGGGCGACGCCTACGGGTCGAGCAAGGAAAAGGGCGACCGGCTGACGTCCGCTGCCCCGGGCATGTCGGCCGCCCGCTCCATCCGGCGCGCCATTACGCGCAAGAAGCTGGGCAGCTTTGCGCGGCGCACCCAGGACAATAGCGTGCTCATCGACGTCGGCGACGAGGTGTTTGCCGTGCCGGCGCACCTCGCCGAGTCGTACCGCAACGAGATGATCCGAGAGCGCAAGATGGGCTCCAGCAGCGCCTCGGGATCCAAGGAGAGCATCACCGACGGGCCCTTTGGCAAGATCCGACCCAAGCACCTCACCGGCGGCGGCCCGGACGTCGAGGGCTGGCGGGCCAGGCTCAACTACGACGAGCAGGTCAACGGCAGCGGCGGCGCGACCAGGTCGGATGGCAAGCCCAACCGTACCCTCAGCCAGCGCATCGCCGATCGGTTCAAGGCCATGACCCAGTCGTTTATCGAGGAAGAGCCCGAGCTCGAGCAAGAGCACGGCGATGGCCGCCCGACGGCACGGAACGCTGCGGGTGCCTTCTCCTTTGACGCCGCCAACCAGCCTCGGGGAGCGATGCGCCAGGCCGACCTCTCGTCGCAGGTGCCGGTACTGACCCACGGCTCCTCGGACTGGCAGATCCGCCCTTCCAACAGCGACGCCATGGCCAACGTGGCTGCCGCCCAGAGGCAACACAAGGCCGGCAACGTGCCGCGCAAGCCCGTCTCGTACCCTGCCGCCGACCGCAAGAGCATCGTCCCGGACGCCTCGATCCTGAGCGACAAGCTGAGCGATCTCGAAAAGCAGGTGCAGTCGTCGTCAAGCCACAAACGGCGTCGCCGACCAGGCCCGCCGCCCGCCTCGCAGCTCTCCCACGAGCGCATCACCCTCTCCGACGGGCCTTCGCCCTCGTCGTCCTCTAACGGCCACGGCGGCGGGAGCGGGATGGGCACGTACGCCGGCTCCGACTCGCACCTCTCGTCGGACTCGTCGAACCGTCACGGCCACGCCGCCTCGTCCGGGTACACGCCGAGCGACTCTTCGGCCGCGGTCGCGACGGCGGGCCATGCGCCCCGACGCGACGAGGAGGTCAACAAGTCGGTCGAGGTCAACAAGGTCGAGATCAAGCGTGCGCAGCGAGCCATGAGCATCCACCCCGTCGCCGTGTCGAGCGGAACCTACCGCCACCGCAAGGCGCAGCACCCTTCGCACCAGCTGATTGCCGACCGCGTCAACCAGTCGCATCAGCAGAGGCAGAAGCCGAGCATCGCCGCAGCGACGTCGGCGGCGACGACCAGGGATGTGCCCCGCTCCAAGTCGCAGCACGCCTCGTCCGCTCCTGCTCGACCGCCGGCCGTCTCATCCTCGACGGACC